CTTTTCTTCTCCAAATTCTGTTTAGTAGCTGTTTCTTCATTATTTAACCCAGAAGTGTGCAAACTCCACAGAGGAGTAGGGTGAGCTGAAACATTCATGTTAAGTTTAATTGGACATACTTGGCGTTACAGCAGAGGTAAGAGAGATTCTTATGTCCTTAGTTTGTTAAAACTAAACAGTATCCGTAGTCCAAAACCTGATATCCCATATTTAGTTAATCTTTATTTGTGAAGCTATTTGTTTGCCTTTGCTGTGCAAAATTAATTTCTTCAAATAGTTTCTTGACATGTGTTTTATTTACTCTGTCTGAGATGCAAATATTACCTGTTAGAAATGCATTCATCAGTAGGAGACACAATACCTTACTTGCAGTTTCTAAGGAACAGAGCAAGTGGTTAATGAATGAATGAGTTAATGAATGAATACATTAATAAATTTACCTTTAACCTCTAGAGGCTGCAGTGTAAGTCTTTATTCTGTAAACAAGTACATAAAAGTCTCACAGTCTACAATCTCAGGGTCATTTCCTTATACTGCAAAACAAACAAAAAACCCCAGACACAGTTCACCATGTCTGAGAATCTCCAAGGAATAGCAGCCTGGGATGAAGATGGGGGTAGACCAGGTTAGTTCTATACATCATTCAGTTTATATATTCATCATGAAGAAATTAGAGGGGAAATTCATACTTCTCATCTAAGGGTGAATTCAGTTCCTTCAGAATGGATATTGAAGCTTTTAGGAGCTTCAGTATTCTTCCTCTGCAAAACTGTAATTAAATAAAAATACTATGTGGATATTTCGATCTATGTGGAATTTAACAGGGTTGTGATACAGCAGTGTTGGTACTGTTACTGGTTTGGCATGTAGAAAGTTTCGAGTAGTTTGAACATTTGACTTTCTGTAATGAGACACTACTTATTTGTAAGCTCTGTATTTTTTATTGACATTAGAGATGAATGCCACCTATGTAAACACCTGTAGAAAATAATCTGTTTATAACATGCTAAATACTAGTCTACTCAGGAATTAGGTGCTGGAGGAGATCTACAAAATGCCACCAAGGTTAGAGCTAGGTGTGGTAAAGATACTTCTCTGCATATCCACATATTTCTTTATTAAAGGGACTATAAAGCTTTAGGTTAGAAGTGCCAAAAGATTAATTATCTTAAGCTCTGGAAAGTGAAGGCTGAAGGTTAAATACTCCTTTATTGCCATTATTGTCAGCAATTTCCCTCAAATAACTGTAAGAAAACATTTCACCCTCAGTTTTAGATTACCCGGAGAGCATTGTTCCATTCCTTTAGTTAACCAGTGTGCCACTTGATCTATCTATGGAATTAGTGGTAGCCTTTAGCATGCAACAATAAACGTCTTTTATCAACAAGTTTGAAGCTCAGGGAATAGGTTTCAGAAATGTTCATGTTCACAAATAATAGGGCATTGGGTGTTTATATCCATTTGATTGGAGTAGTAATTATTTGTAATTGTGTTCTTTTACAGACTAACTCTGCAGTCACTTAAGCAAGTGTAAATGTACAACATGTACTGAGAAAAAAGACAAAGAGCGAGCTACTTTTATGACCTCATACGGAGGATCTCATGAAAAAAAGAACAGTCAAACAGAAAACAATTATTTGTCCAATAGTTTTCTCTGTTCCCACTGATATTGTTAATTGCTGAGCATATTTGTGGTTGAACAAGAGCATTTATTCCCCTGCAGCCAGGTACTTTCTGTTACAGCCTTACCACAGTCATAAAGCTTTGAAGAGAGACTCCAGACACAGACTCAGCCAAAATGGACTGTCTCAGTGAGAGGGAATAAAGAAACTGAGCTAGAGTTGAGGTCACAGCGTTCCTCAGCATTACCCTACTGATGCTTGCAGGCACTAGGATCCAGAAGATGCATTTCCACCTAACCCCCGTTCCCTGTGTTCACTAAGAAAATGCTATTTGGGGATAGCATCCAGTGGATGGAGCTTTGAAACTCAAAGGTGGTATGGGAATAGATTCAAAATTACAACTTTATCAACCCTTTACTGCCCAGTGCCAACAGATTATTAGTTCTTTCACCCTTCTGTGTCCTTCTTTATTCGCTCTTTCCCTCAGATTCACTCCATACATTTTTCACACTTTTCTTCATTACTGTGTTCCCTTCACTACTTTCAAAGTCCTGTTCTTTTGCTTCCTGTAAAGTTTGTCATTTTAGTCTCTCCACAATAAACTTCCTCACCTCTACAACAGCATCTTCCCCCAGAAATGTCAAATACCAAGACATTTTGTGCCATTGCATTGTTAATTGAAATTCTGTGTATAATTAAAGATTATCCAAAATTGTTCATCACAAAATGCTTTCATTGGGAAAAAATACTATAATGGAACTACAATTATTTGCTTATATTTCAGGAAATGTTCTACTGGAAAATTTCAAAACAGCATGCTTTATGTTGATATTTGGTGATAGTTGTTCATTTTGGAATTCTGAAAATTTGCATGCTTTGGCTTCAGTTGAAAAAGAATTTGTGTCATTTTAAAGTTACATTCTGAAGTGAATTTTCTAAAACACATTCTTTGTAGGCAGTTTCCAGTTTATGAGATATTTTGAAAATACTTTGCAATTAAAATAATCTTTAGTTTTAAACTAAAAATATTCAAGTTTTGACCTGCTTGTTATATCCCTTTCTTCCACTCTGTATTACTGTTGGTTATTTACATTTTTAGTTCTTAAGAGCAGAAACTCTTCTTTAAAGAGTAACTAAGACAGTGGGATTCTATCTTTGTTCTCAGGACTATCATAATAAATATGATTTGAATAATGACTGATGTAGAAATACTTGGGTGAGAGTCATTGTCCTTGATAATGCAGGAGATAAGGTCAGTCTTGTCATGATCCTTTGATCACAGATATGAACAAGCCAGTGCTTATGGCACTGCCGTAGCTTTGGTAAAAAACACTTCTTATGTCAGTCATTATGTAGGGATATGTCATCAGTTCATTATATCACTTTCTGGTGAAAACAGTCATGAAAGCAGAATAAAATTTGCTGGTAGGATAGAACTGTATGTTTTGAAGTAGTACCAAGTAGTAGAAATCACAAAAAGTAGAGGAAAGTTTATTTTTATTAAGTGATCATAACCATACGTTTTCTCTTAGAACTAGGCTTCGTTTTAAATGTGGAACTGCTTAATTTTTTAAATGTCTCTGTAAAGTGATCTAGTTCTACAGGCCATCTTGTATTTTGGGAAAATTCTATTTAGCCAATCTTGAGTCAAACTGTGTTCCCAGCATACACACTGACAGTCAGATTTGTGTCCTCTCTAAAACAGGGAGCACTTACTGAGCTTCATCTTTAAACTACATTTCACATTATGTCATGGCTGAGTAACTTCACTGCAAACATTATTTCTGACATATTCAGTTGTACATTATCTATGGCATTTTATATATGCACATAGAAAAAGAAAACATTTATTGCCCTCAATTAAATCTGATCCTCTGTAATGGCATAATGTCTGGTTGCCAGATAATTTCATGGTACTTTTATTGTTCTCATTATCTTTACTAATGGAGCCAAACAAAAGAATATGCTAGTAACTGAGTGATATGGCTTCCCACCTGATCTCCAAGTGATACAGACCATTTTTAATATTAGTTGTAAACATATTCTACTTTGTTTCAAATTGCTTAAAGAGAGATTTTGTAAGAAATATTATAAAGTTAGCAATTTCAAAGTTAGCAGTTTAATGTATAAATAGTTTTTCTTTGTCTGGCAGATAAATTGCCCATTGAAGCTCATATAAATTATTTCTTCATAGCATAGTGCATTCAGATGGGATGACAAAGAACAGTTAGTTAAACATAGTGGCTTTTTTTGATAAAACATTTAATTTCAGTCTGTTAGAGGCAGCTGAATCAGGTAGCACCATAGATGTGAGGCTGCTGTAGGTTCATATCCTTGTGTTCTGCAAGTATCAAAGCCCCCGATGGGTATGCACACAGACACAATAAACACACACAGAGGCCACACACATCAACAAAGACACAACGTATACATTTACACCTATATGTCTGTATTTGCACAAAAAAATGGATTGCTCTAGTAGCTGGTTTTAGATGCTCAGTTAACCCAGTAACTGGCTGCAGAATGTTTGGTTTCCCCAATTGCAGGGGAGTTGCGTATGAGTCCAGAGGTTTGCATTCCCCCGCCTTGCTCACTAATCCATCTGAAAGTTGACTTTCATCCAGATATGTCCTCTCAGAAGAGAACACACCCAGACAGAAAATGGTTAGAAATAGGACTTAATCAGAATACAGGGTAGACTACAGTGATCAGGCACACATCTCAGTCATACAAGCCACCAGTTTACACTTAATTGGACCCTTTATTCTCCTTTTCACGTTATTTTCCCATATTTGTTTCTCCCCAATCCACTTTGATCCCTTCCTTTCCTCCCCAAGTTTCCCCACTGCATCCCTTAACAAGTGCTATACCTCC